AGGTTGAAGTGTGTGCTCTGGGATGTATTTCAGCTTGCATTTCATCCACGATATTGCTGTGCAAGCTGGAAAACTAATCGAGCAATCTGCTTCCGATCATCCTGCTCAATGCCTGTGGGTTGGGTTTTGCATTGCCTCTTCAGCTAACACGTGTTACTGTGTTGGGAAGTCTCGAGGCAGATTTTTTTTTTTATATTCTTTTCATTTTTTTTCCTGTAAACAAGTGTACAGAGGACAGAAATGACAAATAATTTATTCTTTTGTTAACGCAAAATGTATCTGGCAAACCGGAAAAAGCATGTTTTAACTACATCGTTGACCTTCTTAGGCTAAATTATTCCTCATAGTCCCCCAAGCAATCAATCTCCAGTACTTTTGCTGAAGAAAATAAGGGCACTGGAGATATACCTTATCGGTTTGGCTCCAAAAGAAAACGAAGGGTTGGAGACCCACCAAATAGGATCATCTCAATACAGATATGTGATGCATAACAGTCTCCCCTTCTTTGCCTCTAAATAAGATCCTGCAAGAAACTCATAGTTCTTTTATTTCCAGTATGCGTAAAACACAGGAGAAAATCTGACCCTCTCAACTCCTATCTCTTGTTTAAACTATGCTACCTTTTCTCTTTATGTATGTCCACAAGCCTTTGATACAATGAGAAAGTGTGCGAGAAACAAATACGCTACAGCAGAATTTGAAAGAACGTCAAAACAAGTCAAAACAATCTTACATTCTAAAGTATCCTTTCAACCCCTTCAATGTAGCAAAGACGCCCCAAAAGCAAGGCAGGCATTTATAGGTTGTCTGCACTGCACGTGTTTGTTCTTAATTACTTGTATAATTCTTCATCTCTCCTAGCCATTCCTCCAGCTTAGCTTCTCTATCAGCCTTGAATTCTTCATATTTCACAGCCAAGGAAATCAGATCATCGTCACACACGCTTCTGTCAACTGGCACTTCTTGTGGCTCCTCAGCTATCTCACTTGACAATGGCAATTCAACTGCCTCAGCCTCAGGCATACCAGAAGAGATACTAGCACCTCTATCTGACAACGAGGGATCAAGATATGAAATTGATTTCTCATCTTTGATTTCTCTTGATTCTTCGGAGGATTCAACCTGAGGCCATTTCAAATTGCTAGCCTTGAGCTTTGCAGACTTTAAGACATTTGACAGATAACTAGCACCTTTATCACCATCTTGCTGTGGTGAACTTGATTTCCGACCCCAGGCAACTGGTCCCCAAGATCTTGTTCTCCCCAACCGAAAAGCTGAATCTGAGCTATTTATTAATCCTCTTTTTGGATGTTTGGCTGACATGATAGCTAGAGAATTTTTAATGTCTTTAATCATCTCATCAGCAATGGGACAGCCGCATTCTCTCATTGACCTTATAATGGAAATAGAATCTTCTGAATCTTCTGCATGCAACGTCATCTCACGAGATCTCTCAGTGACATTGTTCTTGAGATTACTAAGGTTTGGTGCTGCATTCCGTGTATGTTTGAATGTAGAAAAGTCCCACAGAGGGTTCATTTGCAACATATTTTATCATCTCGGCCAAGCACTCACTTACATCCACGAACCCATCCGCTGTAGAAAACTCCTGCATCTCCTTGAATGCAAATTGTTCTCCATCACTGATGGTTTTAGAGGACAGAAGTGAGTTCCATTTTGTAGAAAGAGAGGTCCCATCGCATACCAATCAGAGAAACTTTCAGATAAAATACAGATTTGTCATGGACTATTCATCAATAGCTTGTCACATAACCCACTTGTAATTCTTGTTTCAAATGAGCAACAGTTTTCAAGCATGCAACAATGGAGTTTTATTTAAAAGATAAGCCATAATGAATTAAAGCTGATCTTTATTTACTCCTCTACTACTATATGCATGCATAATTTGAAAGTGCTACTTATCCAGTCCCTATAAGACATGAACACATTTAAAAGTCTGCTGAGGATGTTTTACAATTCAATCTGCTGTGATATTTGGATGGCATGGATACAGCGAGAATCACAAGAAGAATTGGTCATGTGACTCAGAGGGTGAGGGCGAATCTACTGTGCTTAAATTAAATTTTTTTTTATCACTTAAATCAACACCCCCACCCCCAAAAAATAAAAAAAGTACACGTCTCAACTTCCAACAATTTTACAAATATGGCATTGACGAGTGTATTGAGGTGCCTATATGTAAATATATGATTGGAAGGGCTCCAGACTTACTGAGATATTGCCAACTCTAATTCTAATTGGAACAGCTATGGTTGTTCCTAGAGATATTGGTAACCACCTATAAAAGGTTAAGAATGTAGAAGATGCAAATTCGATGTTTCTTTCTACCATTTCAGGTTTTAAGGACCTTTCACATATGCAATAATAGTTATGTACCAGAAGCTGCTGATGAGCCAATGGATTTCAAGGAAAGCTTCTTGAGATTTCAATGAAAGAGGCATGAGACGAATAGTAATCAAAGGCCACTAATAGGGTAAATTGCAACTAATTTATTGCTATAACAATATAGTTACCAACCACTCAGTATTTCTCTGTTGAAGAATTTCTAGACCCTTCCCACTTCTTCCTATTTCCTTCTGATGATATACCAATTTAGACCAACCTCATAAAAAGGCTTTATCTTCCCTCTTAAATATAAGCAGCACTATAATCTGAAGTAAAAGATGGATTCTTGAGTATTTTCTAGGAAAAGCAGGAGTAAATTATAGCTGCTCCTAATTGGATAATCAGATTCTCAGCCAGGAAACAGGCAATAATACCTTAAGCGATGACAAGCAAGCCTCTCTAGTATACCAGTACCCCCTCTGGGTACATAACAGAACTATAATGAAGTGGGGAAAAGAGTAATATAAGGGAAACCTATGAAGATCACAGGATTGTAGTGATATCTTACTTGAACATAGATCATGCACCACAAATTACAATCTGATGTGCAAAACCTGCAAACTAATTGAAGAGAAGAGCTTAGATGGCATCAATCACAAAGAATTTCCTTCAGAACTTAAAATTGGTGATATAAAATTGATGTCAGGTTTTATGATGCAACACTAGTAGTTTCAGAAGAAAAAGGATAAGCATGAAGGCCAGGCCCACTGACATTGGTTGTGCTACATGCTTTACAATGTCTAAACTGAAACGATGTTTCCTGATTTATATCAAGAGAACAATTACTGTGCCACATTTTAAAAATTGATTCTTTTGAAATTAATTATCTCAAATTACTTCTCAAGTACAAGCTAAACCTCCTTTCGAAAGAATTCTACAAAGCTGAAAACTTTCACAAGAAACATGGCAACCAGACAGGTCCTCTAGTTCTGCTAGTACATCTTATCCAAATCTCTCTTTATATCTGAATGAAACTGACAAATGTATATACAACATGATTATTTGCTAAAATTCCTAACAGATGTTAAATGCTACTTCATCAACCTTACATTTCGGTTATTCACGTAGGTATTCAGCACATTAAGAAGCCAATTACTCCCCCGAAACAATATGGTAAAGAACCAAATGCTGACCTCGAAAAAACAGTGAAACACATTCTTGGAGAACAATAAATCAAGGGCGAAATCAGGAAATTTCAAGAAACTACTCAAAAAATCTACTTCGTCAATATATAATCGGAATACAAGAAAATCCCCCAACTGTCAAAAATCATTAGCTCATTCCTTCAATCAATTCAAAACATCAATCAAGAAATTACAGAGAACATTATAATCAGAATTAAGAAAAGCCCAATTGTCAAAATGCAATCTTTAGCTCATTCCTTCAAACAATTTAAACCACCAATCACGAAACTATAGAGAACCCATCTCCCAGCCGCTCTCGCCAACCTCAATTCAAGCAAGAAAGACAACAAAATCAGACAACTATTCTTTAGAGGAACTAGACAAGAAAAAGAAGGAGAAGAGGGACGAATTACTAACCGATAGGCCTAGACGAAAAGCTGCATAGTATTTGGCAAGCTTTATCCAGAATTGGGTTAGATGAGCATGAGGTCGCAGCAGCATTCGATTTAACCAGCTGACTTTTCTACCATTCTTTTACTAATTGTTTATTGTCAGCATTCTGCATTCATAAACTTTTGGGTTTGCTTTAATCAGGGGTTAACTGACGACAGACAATGGCAAAAGGCCAAAGGGTTATTCAACTTTAATAATTAGGGATAATTGCAGAAACCTCCGTTGAGGTTTCTGACAATTTCACCTAGCTCCCCCAATTTTAGAAAATTACACTAACCTAATTAGATTCAATAAAATGACTACAATATCTCTACTTAATAGATAATTTACCACATATGTGAGATACAAAAACCAAATCAAAAGTAAAATATATATGTAAAAACCTGCAACAAACCGTCATAATCCCCAACCCTATTTAATTAACAGCGGTCTCTTTTTTTCCTCCCTTCCTTTTTTTCTAACTTTTATGATTCTCTCGTACTTACCTATAACTCGCAGTCTATTCCACTCATCAATTACACCACCATGAAAATCTACCTGAAATTGTCAGAAACCTCAAGAAAGGTTTCCGCGAAATTATCCCTAATAATTATACATTCGTTGTTTAAAAGTTAAAACCACTAATTAAGTACTATGTGTGTAGATGATCGCTCTATACAATATTGTTTTTTTCAACCTGAAGAATGATCGCCAATGAATATGATTGATTCAATAGCAAAACTAAGACGCAAAAAATCAAAATTTAAGCAAAATTGAAATTTTTAAAATCCCAATATGTCAAACTAACATATCTAAAATACCAACATCTTAAAATCCTAGTTTTGGAAGAGACTGAAACTTCAGTTATCAATGCCATTGAGGAGTTTTAAGGAGTTGATTTTACTTGCCTTAATTTGATGAAAAAAAAAAAACAAGTTTCTGACTAGTTTTTCCCATATTTTTAAAATACAATTTCACTGTATTTCTCATTTGAGTACGCCTCCTACCAACTTAAACCCATATAAAAAAGAATCAAGAAAAGAAATAGATAATGTTTAGTGAAAGGATAAAAGGAAACTAGAGAAACAGAACTGATGAGATTATCTGTCTATTCATTGATTCCTTCATGGCTTCTCGTCTGATCACCACCCATCGAAGCTTCTGCTACAAAGTTGAGTTAAACTCTTGTAGACTATCATTTCCATCATCAAACCCGCATGTGAACTTTTGCATTCCAGCTTTTGTTTCATGTAGAGGTCCCTTTACTTGTTTGAAGCTTAACCACTGCCTCAAGCTTAGAGCATCTTCTGAGGGTATGCATATATGATCTTCTTCTTTACTTCCGTTGAGAACATCGACTGCTTCTCTTAATTTTTGGCTGTTTATGAACTCTGATGTCCTAACTCTTAATGTTTAACAGGGCTTCCGTCTGAGTTAGTAGATGAAGACTCCAAATTTGTTCCTCTAAATGCTGAAGATCCAAGATATGGTCCACCTGTAAGTTCTAGTTAGTCCTTGCATACTAAGCAAATGTTTTGTATTAAGGAAGAAAACAAGAAAAAGGTAACGTGAATGGATTTTCAATAGATGCTGTCTAATTTAAGGAATGCGTGTATTGACAAGAATCTATTAATGCAAATCCAGATATACCGGAATAGCACTTCAATTGTCAGAAAAAAAAATAAAAATGTTGCCACCGGTCATCCCTAGTAATTTTTTATTTAACACTACATTGGAGATATTTGATAATTAGTTTGAGTTACCTGTTGAGATTTTGTTCCTCCTAAATTGAACAATTCTATGACATAATAACCAATTTTAAGTTTCTTAGATGGCCAAATGTACAGGATTTGGAACGTTGCGTTAATTTGGCTACTGCATACGAGTTTATGCACTTGATATGGACTTTTCATGATTTCTCCACTAATGCTGTGATGTAAATTTGGACGAGTTACTGCATCAAGAAGCCTATAGATTTAGTTATACTAGTACTTTTAGCTAATGACACTTTATGTCACAGGCATTATTGTTGCTGGGTTTGATTTAGAGGAGGCAGTGAAGGTACTTTACGGTGGCATTTACGTCTTCTGATTGAGTTAAATAATTGGCTAGTTTTTGACGATGACATGCCAAATTTCCAACTTCAGTATTGTTTCTTCTTCTGGTTATGTTCTTTCATTTGTCGCCTCTTCAGTCAACTGCATCCATTTTTAACACTACACAAACTGCTCATGACTAGTGCTTACTGCTTTTCTGAGTTCTAGCACAGCTATGATCTTAGTCAGAAAAAAAAATGATTATTAGAAATGACTTATCAAGTAGAAGAGAACTAGCAACGATAGTTGTGCCGAAACTAGCATGCAGAAACAAAATCAAATGCATGTTTAAGATCAAGATTTCGTGACTGAAAAATGGGGGTTTCATCAGCTGGAAAGTATGTTCAAATTTTGTGATTTTGGCTTTCGTTTGATGGGGCAATTTATATGGGATATGAATTGAAAAGGATATATCCCTTAATGAGCACTATCAATGATATTTTAGCTATGAGACAATAAATTTAGCTGCACTCAATCTTGCACTACCTGCACTGGCTAATACTCTTCACGGAGGCTCCTTCTTGACAATGTACAGATAGTGTTGCAGCTCTAGAAGCATATAGACCCAATGATCTTTATATGCAACAGTACCCATCCAATTTAATTCATCAATCCACCACGTGTTTGTGTGCGTGCAGATACAGCAACTTCTTAAGGAGTTAGATGGTGATTTCCTAGAGGTATCTCCATTGGTAGCTAGCTTCTCTCAACACTTCTCTTTCTTCTTTTTCCACATGCAAGTTAAGGAGATGAAGAGGTATTCAAAGTGGCTTTTGGTTGGTGGAAAGCTTTTGCAAACAGTTAAGAAATAATTTTTTTTCGAATAAAATCTTCAAATAATATAAGTCCTTTTCTAAGTCATTAGAGAATCCATTGAACTCAAATGACCATGTCATTCTGGAAGAGGGGGGGAAAAGAGATAAAAGGATATTATGTTTCAGATTTTATACATTCCTAAGGCTGTGTGAAGTCATTAGAGAATCCGTTGAACTCAGAAGACCATGGTCTGCCAAGTGTATTTCTGGCTTCTGCAAATGTTGGCGGGCTAGAGAAATGATTCTTCTTGATGCATGCCTGAGAAGTAATGGTTTTGGGTTAATTGAGGAAAGTTCATCTGCATTTCTGATTGTATATTTTGGTTGCAGGTCATTTTTTGTACTGAAGACATGATTACTTGCTGTCTGTGGGAGGCAATGAATACTAAGCAACCTAATTTGGATGCTGCAAAGGTTGGATTTTCTGCTCTTAAATGTCAAGTCTTCCTCCTTCTGCGACCGATTGAAGCTATGCCAGAAAGAAAGCTATTTCCATAAAAAATGATACTATATGGGGCTCGCATATATTTTTTGTCCACACAAGTCATTATCTTGGATGCTTGTTTTTATTGTCTTCAAGGACTGACGGGGAGGGGGAAGAAAACATATTCTGTGCATCTGAAAGTGGAAAGTTTAGATGCCCTCTAATTCGTTCTAGAGTTGCCAACTTGACTAACAACAAATGGCAGTGGAATTAGGACTGAACTACAGACTGTAGTACCTTGATAAGAAGTTCTGATTGCAATGCAGATCAAAAGAATGATTGTGGCTGATGTTAAGTGAAGGATGTTTTTGAGTGCAATTCTATCCTCTAATTTGGCAACTGAAGAATCGTACTCTTAGATGCTGCATACTAGCTGGTCTTACAATCATGTAACAGAGAGTACATTAATATTGCATATTGTCCGGCGTCATAAGCATTTTGGTATACCCTGCAGATTGCAAAGTCACTTCCCCGAATTTGCTTCTTGTCTGGTCTCACAGGAGAGGAGATGATGATGTTTATTGATGCCTTTCCAGAAAGTGGTACACCCTACTTTTCACCGTAATAGAAATCTTTGGTTGTACAAGTTAATTTCGTTATGGTCATTGTTAAAGCTAAATTATAAGCCCAAAAGGTATCTCGTGAAAATATGGCCTAGTTGTTTCTGATACCACGAATTCCTTTTGTGTGCGTGTGTTGGTTTGTGCGCAGTCAGGAAAACGAAATAGACCTTAAAAAATGGCACTACAGTAATTTTCTCTAAATAAAAGCGTTATTGAAAAATAACCGATAAACTAAGGACCTTAACCGCAAAAAAACTCTTCACCTATGTGTATAGCTCACGATTCCACTCTCCGAAGAAAGCGTTTCACAACACACTATTCAATGTGTCACTCACTCATTCTGCGTGAGTTCGTACGAGCAGCTGTAGAATTCTCAGCAGATGATAAATACTAGTACTAATTATTAAAACAAAAAAGAAGGGATAAAAGTGCCCTCAGGAATGGCCCCATCGGCGAAGGGTAAAGAGAAGGTCATTGACGGCGGCAAAGGCTCGTCGGGGAAGAGGAAGCGTAACATCGGCGGTGGTGACGACGGCAAAACTGGTGGTCGGAAACGGAAGAATCGCGGCGTTCTTCAGTTCTTTGACGATGCCGCTTACGAAGTTGATGAGGATGATGCCAGTGACGACTCATTCTTCGATGATGGTATATTTGAACTTTTTCATCGACATTTCCCACTTGCATGGACTATATTTATTCTTCTTATTTGTTTTTCTTTTCTTTTTATTTTTACCTTTTGAAAGTGTGGTAAAAGCTAGGGTTTTTTTGGTGTGGGAAGTGAAAATTTAGATTAATTTTGTTTGCGACATGTGATGATTGGGGGTTTAGGGTTTTTTAATCGGCAATGCTGGCTCTAGTTGATTGTTGATATGCTTTTTTCCCAAACATTATTGATATTTTGTGTTTTATTGAAGGATTTTAGCTGAAATATAGTGATGATATTTGGCATTTCTGCGTGCATCTTTTAAGGTAAATAATCGATTGTGTACTTTCAATGGTGAATGAAGAAAAAGAAAATAAATGCTAAAGCTCACTGAAAAAGCATGTTTGCTCGGGGTGTGCAGAATTATGTTGTTCTCTTTTTCTTTTTTAGTTTGCCGGTAAGGTTGGCTTATTTAAATTGCGTTCATGATGCTTTGGGGAACTTTTGCTTAGCGGTTTTTGTTGTTGTTGCTGGGTTTATTTATCATATAGAAGGAGGATATGCATTTTTATTAATGTGGTTTTTGAATTGTGATATTTTGATGTAATTTTGATGGACCACTGACTTTTTTTTGTTGTTGTTCTCCACCCATTAAATGTGAAAATGAGGTAGCATTTCTTGAAAATTGTATTTTATTAACAAAGAGAGGGAAATGGCATGTATGTTCATTTGGTGTTTGTGGTCACTCTTAGGCTTAACTTCTTGCAACTGTGACTTTATTATGCTGTAAATATGCATGCATCTGTGCTTCAATTATTTTATACGTTATTCGTTTGCCGAAAATGGTCCTCTTTTAAGCAATTCATTTATACGTTATTCGTTTTCTGCTTGTCGCTAAGGAGTCCTCACTCTACCTGTTATTTTTTATCTTATCCAAATGTGCCGATGGTTCTTGTTATTTTCGTGTGCTGGCTCTCCTAGCATATTCCTGGTTGATTTTTTCATCAAGCCTGTTGGTATATTTACTAATGAATCTTCTGTTGATTGTTAGGTTCCTTGTACTCATGCTTGTCAATCTAATTTGTTACCATTTGCTGAAACTAGATTCTCTGGAAGATGAATTTGACACAGCAGCTGCAGCAATGCAATTCCAGTCTGAACCTAGCAGAGCCCCCTTTCTGCCTTTTGTTCCCAAAGTGGAGGAACCAACAGAAGAAGAACTTGAAAAGATGTTACAGGAACGATACAAACCAGGCTCTACTTTTGTGACATATGCAGAAGACAATTACGAGAGCAAAAGAACGGTGGAAATGCCTGAACACTGTCCTTCTGTTAAGGATCCAATCATCTGGAAAGTCAAATGCATGGTATAAAATTGTGACATCATAGTTTTCAAGTTTTAAAGCAGATTCCTTTTCTTTTCAAGCTATGAAGTTCTTTTCTTTTGCATCATTTTGCTCATGAGCAATTGATGGGCCATAGGTTGGACGTGAGAGGCATTCAGCCTTCTGCCTCATGCAGAAATACGTGGACTTGCAATTTCTGGGAAAGAAGCTGCAGATAATTTCTGCATTTACAATTGATCACGTTAAGGGTTTTATTTATATCGAAGCAGAGAAGCAGTGTGATATTAATGAGGTAGTCATTGGTTCTTCCGTTGATCTTCTGAATTTTGAAGTTTTTGTGTTTCTCCAAATAAATTGGATGTCCGTGTTTCTATTGGTTGCTTCTTATGCTACTAAAATTGTTCATTTGCTTACTTGGAGACTAAATACCCACAATACAGGCGTGTAATGGGCTGTGTAGCATATATTCAAGTCGCGTGGCACCTGTACCAAAGGAGGACATTAATCATTTATTTTCTGTTAAAAACAAGAGTAATGGAATTTCTGAGGGAATGTGGGCACGTGTTAAGAATGGGAAATACAAAGGTGATTTAGCACAGGTATGGTTTTGTTCCTGTTGATATGTTTGATCTTTGGCCGGTTTCTTTTTTCTTTTCTCCGGTCTTCATTTGGTATTTCTCCCATATTCTTCTAGTTTTAACTTTAAGATTTGTGTTTCACTGATTTCTAGCTGTTTCTATTATATATATGTAGGTTGTGGCTGTAAATTCTGCACGGAAGAAAGTGACCGTGAAGCTGATTCCTAGGATAGACTTGAAAGCATTGGCTGAGAAATTTGTAAGATACTTCTCACTAATGTGTCATTTTATGGTAATCTTACTTGAAGTAATTTATTTTTCCTTATGGGTAAAAAAGGCCTGTTATTGACAAGGAACATTGGGGATCTCCCCCTTCTCCCCACCATGTCTGCAAAGAAATCATATCTCCTCTGTCTAAATTTTGACAAGATTGAGCAATTAGAAATTACTAGTACAAAAATTACTATTGAAGTTTGTGATAAATAATTTGCTATTTGCAGCATTAATATGCTTTAAATAATTTTACTATCTGCTGCATTAATATGCTTCTGCTTTTGCATCCTTTTATGTTACTGTTGGCACCAAATGGTTGTTACGTTATGATTTGTATCGTTCATGCGTGTACAGGGTAGAGGAATTACTGCCAACAGGACTGCTAATCCGGCACCAAGACTCATAAGCAATAGTGAACTCGAGTAATTTGCGTGCTATATGTATATGTTCTTTTTTTTTGTTTGGTCTTTAAATAAAGTTTTTGTGGTATTGATATTTCCCATATTGTATATGTAAAGAGAGTTCCGGCCTCTGATTCAATGTCGACGGGACCGTGATACTAACAAAGTCTTTGAGGTTCTTGATGGGATGATGCTGAAGGATGGCTATCTGTATAAGAAAGTATCCATTGACTCGTTAAGCTTTTGGGGAGTAACACCTACAGAAGATGAGCTTCTTAAATTTGAGCCTTCAAGGAATGAAGAATACAATGATCTAGAGTGGTTATCACAGCTTTATGGCGAACAGAAAAAGAAACGTCCTTTATTTAGTGACAAAGGTGGTGGAAAAGGTGAAGGTTCTTCAATGCCAAGCCTGGACACTGATTTTGAAGTGCATGATTTAGTTTTTTTTGGGTAAGTGCGGTTATCGCTTATTTCCACGTTGGCTTTGCCATTGCTTCTTCTAGTATGAGTATTAACTTACTTTGGTGTAACCTGGGAATTTTGCCATTGCAGTCGAAAGGATTTTGGTGTTGTCATTGGCACGGAGAAGGATGAGATTTTCAAGGTATACCTCTCAGTTTATGTGGTCACTTTACTGCCAGTGACTTAACATTATAGTTTTTGTTTCAGATTATCAAGGAGGGCTCAGAGGGACCAGTAGTTGTCACTATTCCGCGGAAGGAGTTAAAGAATGCAGCATTCGATAAGAAGCTATTCACAGCACTTGATCAGAAAATGAAGAATATATCAATTAATGACAGAGTCAGAGTTTTGGATGGTCCAATGAAGGTTTAACAAAAATTTTGCATTTCAAGTGACACTATATGACTTAGGTTATTTGGTTGCTGATTTGCTTATACTATACAGGATAGAGAAGGCATTGTCAAGAAAATTTACAGAGGGATTATTTTCTTGTACAATGAAACCGTAGAGGAGAACAGTGGTTACATTTGCTTTAAGGCACAGTTGTGCGAAAAAGTTGAGCTTCCTGGTGAAGCACGTAATGAGAAGGTTTGTATGTGTTTTAAATTTGGAAAGTAGTAAATCTTTTGACTGACTACCTATGACTGCCCACAACCTGCAAATGGAATTTGTGTACATGAAGGAATCCATTTGTTTAGTAATTTTTTTTTTTATTCCTAACCACTTAATAAATGATGATAATCCAGAAGAAGTTATCAGGAAAATCTCACCCGATGTTAACTAATGTGGTATCAATTGAAGTCTTAATTTTTGATATGTCATAATATGGAATTTTATGCATAGACAATTATATGCTTGCTTTTATTTGGAGGCTATATGCAATATGAGATTGTAACGAGTTCCGAGAGACACAAGAATTCTTACGCTTGTAGCACAGTACATCATGCTGTGTATGTGGATGAACAAGCTTCTGCTTGCATAGCCCTTTCTAGTGCCTCTTTTGGTGTAAATTTGTCCAATGGTGATGCAAATTCCGTTTTCATTTGTCACTTGAATAGTTTAAAAGGTTTATTTGCGTATCCATTTATGTATATTATGCTATGAGGGCTTATGAATGTATGTTTTTCTCAGAAAAAAAAGAGCAAAAAATTCCTGTTGATTTTGATAAGGATTAGGATGTGAAAAAAACAATTATCCTCATCTATTATTACACATTCGAAGACAATTTCATTATGGCTTGGGATATCATAAATATGCACAACTTTTGTACCTTTTACAAAATATACAATTAAGCCTGTTTGTCGCATCTCATGGTCGTTTTCCTTTGTTCAGCATCTGATTTTGTCCCAGAAAATGTCTGATTAACTTCTGTGCAAGCCCAATTTATTTCCCTTCCACCTG